CGTTGTTGTGTGCCAGTTGGGCTGTCAAGCCCATCGTTTCAGGTACCTGTTCTGGGAGGTTATCAGGGTCCCATCCTCTTCAGTGATGGTCTCACTGACCATCGCATTCCTATCAGTATCTCTAATAGGCCTAAATAATTCCAGAATCTATCTTATTGCTGCCACCTTCTCCATCATTCACGCCTACCAATCAACACTGCTGGCGATCATTGCAAAGACTCTTAGTCAATTTACGTTTGAGCTACTTTCACTCCTCTTTATGATCAGAGCCAGAAAGAATGAGTTTTCTCGCATCAGCCAGTTCAGACAAACGAATTTTTACAAATGCATTGACGTTTGTCAACCTCTGGGTGTAAGTTACCTACTGTCTTTATCGCTGTTTCTACAGCAAACAGGATGAGAATTCCTGTCACGTTCAGATAAGCACTTATCTATCTCCTTCCTAGATACGTATTTCACTTTCTCATCTTCCAGTTGATCACACACAGGCTTCAATATCACCTGTTTCCTGCTACCACTAAAATGGAACATACACGTGTCTATACTACTAACATGTGATTAGAGTCTACACAGATACTTCAGAAAGAGCGACAATGCTTCAAAGATCTCGGTTTTCTGAACGCGTTTAGCAGAAATCTGAGTATGTTTGGCATGCATTTCGCACCTATCAACTGTGAGGTGATGACGCTCCAAGACTGGTCTGAAAATACTCCCAGTTTAAGGTTAGGGAATAAAGTGGCTGATTGTGTCAATCACTTCATTTACTTGAAGAATTGCATCAACCCGAACAGGGTGGTTGCTGACGAAATCTCATTTCAGATACGGAGGGTTCGTTTGGCACTTTCCAACTTGCGTCATCTGTGGCGCCGGCCGGCGAGATATCCGACGAGTATACTGGGCTGCAGTTCGTTCTGTCCTGAATACGGCTACGAGACATGCCTGTTTAAATAAGACAACGGGCGGTTACAGATTTCTGACTACAGGTTTCGTCGGTGGAATCACCGTATGAGAAATGTTGAGGTCAGGCGAAGGGTACTACGCAAGACAGGTAAGCCGATTGACGAGGTCGTTAACCTTCATCAGCTGAGATGGCTTGGATATGTACTGCTCATGCCAAGCCGCCGCCTACCTCGACGTGAAATGCTAGGGGAGGTTGGACTATGTTAGAATAGGGTTGAGAGTAGCCAGACGAAGACGTGGCACCAGTCGATGAAGTCTCTGACTCTTGGCCTGTGGGGAGATGTAGGCTAACTGGCTAGGGTACGCAAGACGATAGGGATCAATGATTGAGGACTATTGGTGACATGGCTGAAAATCGGTCACAATGGGGCAGATGTATTCACTCCTTGACGTCTTCTACAGCTTGAATATTCTCACTGACCTTTGTCATCATATTGCTTATTTCCTTACATAACTTTGTCTACTTCGATATCACTCTTTTTCAATCCGCTTGTGTTTTAATATGTGGTAGCACTAGCTTTTCGACAACCATTTATCTCCAGATGGTCACTTTTTCTGGTGCACCTTGTAACGTGTTAGATGTATAAATGGCAATGCCTACTTTACAATCTTTTCCAGTAGCGATTTTTTATCATCTAATTAGTTATATAGCTTTTAGTGGTGACCTTCACAGCCTAACGTGGCTCAGCTCCTCATGCGATTTTTCTAAAATCTTCATAACTGTACAAATATAATTCGCAAGGCAATATTCGGTGTCTAGTTGTTAAATACCTACTTTAAGAAATCTGCTGATTGTGGAATTTTTGTAGTCTTTAAAGAAAAGCATGTAACAGATAGGGATGGTTAACCAGCTCTGCAAATGGGGTTTCGAGAATTGTTTTTGGAAAAGATACCAATCTTGGGCCTCAGGTTACTAAGCAACCGAAACACTGCCTCCTTTGTGTTATCCATGGGGTTATGCTGGGATATTAAGATACAACCCTGTGACATATTGGCATCATTAAATTAGTTTGCTTGACGATCTTAATTCGGATTAGATTCTTTTAGTCCATCAGTCCTGACACCAACTAATATATATGAAATCCTATCCGTTTATTTCGCAGTGTGATAAACGAATTTAGTCTTTTGAAGTGCCTTCGAGTTGCTTTCCGCACAATTTTCTAAACTTCAACTGTAGTTTGACAAAAATGTCTAAAATCGTGGTTCTCAGTCTTCAACAGCTTGAGACGTGTTTGTAAGATTGAGTTTCGTAGACACTTTTCCCCACTTTTTACGCTTATCGAACCATCGATGGCAATAGGAAGATCCTTGGGAGAAATTGCTTTGTTACCTCTTCGTGTTCACTTTGGTGCTATTCCAAAACTTCTTGGCAAATCGGTCCCTGTCGGTAGCCCAGTCTTTTTTGATCACACAATTCCTAATAGCTGCATTCCGTTTATCATACATCCGGTATAGACAGGAGGGAAGTCGTAATATAGCTCACATATTTGACGAATGAAAGTTAATGTGCCATTAAGAGGAGGCAGTTAAGACCAGTAGCATCCTTACATTTATCAGTGAAAGCGAAACCTAGAAGTGTCACCTTATTTTCGAGATCAGAACACGTTATATTAGGTACGAGTTAAATTAGGCGAAACTCTATGAACAGCGGTTGGACCACTTCCAAAGCACACGCCTGGAGCTAAGGCTATAAACGCCATTCAGTTTATGTGCTGTGCATCTAATTCTCCTAATATCGATCATCAGCCAGGTTTACTGAAGTTGTGTGTATGGTTTAGTAAAAAGTCATCAATAACACAAGAAAGGCTAAGGTGAATTATACGAATAGTAACTATGTCCTGCCTGGGATTGGCTTCACAGTTAGTCGCCCTACATGTTCCATTGTCGTATCCCGACGATGTGGCCCACTGTATTTGGTTATTGCAAACATAAAAAAGTATGCTGCCACCCTTACAACTTACCACCGTACCAGTCATAACATAATATCCCTAAAGAAGCGGAGTAAAGTTGATAGCACTCTTTCAGGTACTTCTGGTACCTGTTTCAACTAACATGTTGCACAGTCGACTTCCCTCTGTTGAAAGTCGAAATTATTTTTTCTCCACAAATCTAAAACAACGACATAATTATGTATGCATACTTTCCTTTTAAAACTACCGTACAGATAATCTTTAAAAATCTATTCGCGGTAAACGTATCACTGAGGACTAAGAGCTAATCTTAAGGAATTTGGAGAAGCGGTTATTTCTTTTTTACAAATCAAGGTAAGGAAATTATACTGGCTGGTGTGATATCGTGTACGGAAAGTGCACTATAGCAGAACATCAAGTAAGATTGTTCAGGTGCTTGAATTCATACTTCTAGATATACTGACATGCCAGAAGTAAAATTTTTAGCGCTAAATGTTGAACATCCGTTTGACTGATGCAGGAGCGAAATGACTATTGAACCAGACGTTCCTTTTTGACTAATTTCCTAGCAAATGGGACCGGTGAAATTCGTGGACAATAAACACTTGATTAACGTAGTTTTTTTTGACTTTGATGTGGTCTTTAGTAAGATGTTTCACATTAGTCTAATGTAGAAGTTTATTGCATTTGGTAATGATAACGGTATGTAGGTTTGAAAGGAAGCAAAGAGTCAGGATGAATCGAATATTAGCTGAATGTAAACTGCTAACTAACGGGGTTTCTATTCCAAATGCTTTTCTCTTCATTCTCTATGTTAATAAGTTGCTGAAAATGCTTAAGTCATTGTCACTCTTATTTATTGACTTTATCAAGTTCTGGAGAGTTATGCGTAATAATAAGGATAAATTTAAGCACCAAACTAACCTTGGCAATCAGCTTAAACGACCTAAATGATGCAGACTGAAAATGAAAGCGGAGTAATTCAGGGATGTTAGGGAGAATCCAGTTATTATTCAGTGAGTAGATTATCCTGGTCTTGTGTTCTGGAGTGAACTGACTTGAGGATTATTGTAAACCATGATTTAGAAATGACAGCTGGTAACTTGGTCAGAGCTTTTTAAATAATGCTGTCACCTCACAGAGTTCTAACTCTCCTCTATGGGAATATGTTGCAGATACCTCATCTTGCTTATGTAAGACTTTATCCAAAGTGCTGTACCTAATCCGGACTTCAAAATGAAGTTGATACTGAAATGTGTTGAACAAGTAGGCACCAAGTTGGTGACAAGAATTCCTCACAATCATGGAAAGCAATAAGATCAGCTAAACGTTTTACTTTGTCGTAAGAATAAGGGTTGATTGTATTAGCTCTGCCTATTATATCAGCATTTCATTCTTTTAATCAAGATTTAGGTGTTGATTTGTCTGTTCTCCTAATTTTTTTAGGACTAGTCATTTTTGAGGTTATCACAGAAAGTTCTTCAAGTCCTGGTTGTATCGACCATGAGATTTTCCTGTAACCTGACCTTCTAATGAAACTCGTTACCAGAGCAAATAGTAGCTGTCCTTTTGGTGAATTCATTGAAAGAGAAATTGGATTTTATATGGATAGCTCTTGTATAGACTAACATAAATCATTTCACCTATTATGTATACTACTCAATATGGTTAAATGAGAACACTTGTGGCAATGCGCTGGGAGCTTTCTCGTTCACTCCACACACAGTGATTATCCTAAGTACACTGAAAAATGGGGTAAAAGGGTTTTGGAATCATACGAAAATTATTTCTCTAAAAATCGGCCAGCTTGAAATTAAAGTAACTTGTGATCTGCGGGTAAACCACAACGCATTAATTTTCACAGTAAATAAGCCGTTTTTCTTTGTCATTACTTTCAACCGTTTCTGGAGCAATACTACAGTTTACTGACTATTTTATGTAGACGTGTCTTCGGCTCATTTTATGAATTTGTTTCATAAGTTTTGATGCTCTGCGTGGGGTTGGTACCGAAAGCTTTTGTTATGTAAGTTAAATCTAATATCGCAGAAAGTAAACGAGTTTTTTTCCGCCATAGTCGATACAAAGGAAAAAGCAACTAGGATATCGACATCTAATGGTCTCTTATAGACATCAGGATCTAACTTTAACCTGGTATAACGAAGTTGAACATGGTTTATAAACAATAGTATATATTTGTCATATCCAGCTGGAGTAGAAAAGTAAATCTCTTCCATTTCTCAAATTCATAGAAATTGGTCCGTTAGAGAATAAAACTTGTACAAGCTATCACATGTCTAAGTAGTCAGTAAAACAAATCGGATTCCATTATCATAAATTTTCTCAAAATAAAACAATTAAACGTCATCTTCGTTGATTATAAATCAGTGAATTCCAGATGATGTGGATTGTCAACACGTGTATTTGCGTTCATTTGCATATGGGTATCTGTCCATGTGAGAAAGAAATCGTATGAGGAGAAATTCAATTTTCGTAAGTGCGCACATATATCTTCGAGATGAATTTAGTGAGTGACTCTAAAGGCAATCTAGCAACCAGTGAAATAACTAAATGTGTTTCTTTGTTTCGGCTAGAAAGGCAGTTTTTCACCATGTAAAGATACCTAATTGGTTATTTCAGTAGTTGTTTAGGATAGCCTTTAGAGCCATTGAATTTATTTGTGGCTGGTATGAGTTCCTTTTTTTCAGACGCATTATCCAAGTTGGTGGAATAGCTAGGCATTTCTTTTTTGCTAGGTGCATTAACGTTTACAATAGTGTTCACTGCCTCAACTATCCTTATTGACTAGTTCTTCAATTTAATTTTTTTGGTTATTCAAGATGGTGTGAATTGATACTGCAGACTTTATTAGCAAATTCTGTAGTCCTGCTGGATTCTTCGCAAATTTTATTCTTTAAAGATGCATTTTCCATAAACCTGAGAAACATCGGGAATTTGCCTTTTCACTTCATTCGGATTTGACTTATATGAATCTCGTCTATTACGCTTGTAGCTCTATCGTTAGGTTTTACAAGCAGTCATTCATTCATGATTCTGTATACAATAATGATGCTCGCATTTATCTTGGAACCAGCATACTTATTAAAAAGTTGTTAGTGTCGAAACTGTAAACACGTAAATCACAGTTGCAGAATAGAAGCCATTACTAACATATAACCCTCTGGAATATGCAGAAACACTCAGTAGTAGGGTGGTGTTATGTACATGTTTTATGCTACTGAACAGCTTGAGTAGTTAGAAACCACTGAAGTTGAACTAGATTTCACCAGCCAGATCACAGTGGTCTAAACACCAGACAACCGTTTGTCTTGTTTGGGTACCAGGAAATCGGTGGAGTAAGCGTACAAATTGACCTAAATTGTTCAGATCATTTTGAGCTGGCTTGCATAAACTAGTATACCTTAAACAGGGTGATCAATTTGCAAATGATTTACAAATTACACGGTCCACGCTCAAATTTCTCACAGACGAGTAGTCTTTCAGCTGTCTAACTGGCATCAACACGTACATATTGTAGAATTACTTTAGGGGACAACCTTTTGGCAGTTTATTTCCATTTAATCTCTTATTACACGAAGTGGATTACAGCTAGATAACTCAAGTGTTTAATTTTAATACATATAAAAGTATTTCATATCATACTTAAATCTTTCCCTGGTATTAAATTTGTGCATGACATTAAAGCCCTCCTATACTGGGTAACTTTTTTAGTCATCACTCTTCACTGACCAAAATATATGACGATCGTTTTCTACAGCTCACGGCATTAATAAAGTCGAAGTAAGTGGTTTCCTAACTCCTTACGTTTGGCGTATACGTAATACACCTAGACTAATAGTTCGTCTATAGTTAGCCTAAGCTTGATAGTTTAACTTAGGCCACTTATAAAATGCTGGTTCATGAACTAGATTTCGAAATGAAACAGGCGCTTATAAATCTTTCATCTCCAGTCAAATGCGTAGAAATCTTAACCACAGAAATGCTACACCGCTACCTCAGTAGAAGGATAACTGAAGTTTCCCGGCGGGGATTTACTCTATGACTACGGTAAGGGATCTCAAAATTTTCTTTAAGCTCGCCTAAAAGAGTATAAAGCGAAAGGTGTAATATAATTCATGGTATAATTCATATCGATACTGTATCTCTGAACAATAACCTCACTATAAATGCGAAAGCACTGTCTCGTTTTAGTCTGTGGAATAACTAAGACTGATCTGTCCGCATAAGTCGTATTGCAGTATATTTAAAGTGAACCAGTTTTGGTCAGTGTAGTTTCAGTGTTCTATGCATATGTGGGATTTAATGTAGCAAATTTCACTAATTTGTTCAAATCAAACGTTTTGGGTCTTGGTAAGAAAGCAAAAAGCATCAAATGTATTCAAAGGAAGTTATTATAGAAAACGTTCATCAAGTCATTCCGTATACTTAGGTGTCGGAATATTTCACTTACTTTTCGCTTTCAAATAATTGAATGCGTTGTAATTTAGTGAAATACACAGTCCCCAAAAGTGATGAGAATCACCTACAGTATGCAGGTGTCTATCCTGTACAGTGATCTGCGATTAAGTGTTTGATGTGTAAATCAGTATCGTAACAAGTCATAACATAGAAATGATTGTTTTATGAACGGATCAACGTCAGGAAACGTATTTCTTTTAGGTTGTTTAATATCCTTTCAGATCTGGATTTTAAGCTTAATTTAATCATGAGTACGGTCCGTTACATAATCCCAACTTTTCTTTCTCCCTAGATTCCAGTCCAAAGCAATTGGTGATTCACTGGTTCTAGACACGGAAACCACTTGAACAAAAGCTTCTTTGGTCCCTTTCCTAAGCAGTTATAACTTTCAGCAATTTCTTCACAGTTGTACTCAAAAGTGTTCAGTTCTAGCAAAGTGTCTGAAGATGAAGGTCAAGTTTTCATACTACACAATTCACAGTCTATCAACCGTATACCTAAAACCTTAACACTCATCCTTTACATCCAAAATAAATGAGCAAGAAATGTAAGAAGGAGAAAAGTGTTTATCATGGCGAATCTATTTTGTCCTACTTTATTCGAGATGAAGGCTGTAAACAACCGGCACAAACTGTAAGCCCACCTAGTGTAGAAACATGTGTTCCTGTATCTCAGAACATTTCGTCAATCGAAACGAAATCTAGAAAATGCCCGTTTTATAAATGGATTCCAAGTTTGTTCAGTGGATATATTTATATAAAATATTTACAGGTACACCAATTACTGTTGATGCATTTTGTTACAATGATATTCCTGGATGTACTTGCTACTTTCTTTCTCATTTCCATTCTGATCATTTTAAAGGAATTCACAAGAATTTCAAAGGACATATTTACTGCAGTGAGGTATTTCATCACTTTGATGTAATTCATAGCTTTAGGTAACAAAAAATCTTTTGAGAGATACTTATGGTCCGAAGCTGCTTATTAGCGTTCTTGAGTTGCATAAATGCACTAAAATTTGTGATGTAGAAGTAACGGCTTTAGATGCAAACCAGTAAGTTCACCATCCAAGTTTGGTATTATTTTTTTGTTTATTGCTGTTATTCCTTTTTAATTTGGTTCAACTTTGGTAGAATATCATAGTGCTTAGAAAATTCATCGTTAAACAGGAACAGGCTTTTTCAACGCTGTCCTAACCAGTGAATATGCTATGTCAATAAGGAGTAAGTTAATGGGTATCAACCATCGAAATAGTCCTATTAGGCCATGGGAAATTTACAAAAGATAATGCAGCAAATCATTTTCAGAAGCTGTACATTCGTATTTACAGTTACAACAAAAAAAAATGTTCATCAATGGCCAACGGATCATTATGAGGTCATCAAAAATTGTCAGTAGAGTCATAAGGTGATTAGAGCTAGAAGGTCAGCACAGGGTCATCAAAAACCGTTTAAAGGATTACAAGGTAGTAGCTGAAAGGTCAATACAAGATTGTTACTTAATAATCTACGTAGTAATGGAACAGGTACACAGGAATTCAGAACAGCCGACAATTATGGAGCAAAGAAAGATAAATTGCCAAGGCTTCTGCTGTGTCCAGATGCCGAATCCGCATTCTCTTCAGTGTTTGGCTTGACTTTATAAGTGACTTTGAAGGGAGATTCTGGGAAGCAAAGTGATCATAGTTAACCCGATGCTCACGAATCGCTTTACATTTTCCGATAGACAGCCGTTCAGTATATTGTTTGGAGATGCGCTGAGACAGAACGCGCTTTGTGTGGCTTATATAACAAGCTCCACAAAACCAGGTGAATTGGTAAACACTTATGGAGGTGACTCAAAGTGGTGGATTATCTCCTACTTCCCCCCTCAAATCAGTTGTTGACCACAGAAAATAATGCGAAGCGGGGCTGAAAAAGAAGGTCTTATTCCGTGCTTTACATAAGTGACTTTTGACTATCTCTGCCCTGTAATCTCCCTTAAATCAAATATTCACAAATAGACTTCTTTGGAACCGTCGGGAGTTCCTTCTTGATAATGTGTAGGCTTCATACTCCTCTCAATAAATCTTGGAGGATAACCATTCTCGGTGAACACTCTTCGAAGTACTTCCGGCCTCTCACTTACTACGTCATCTGTACAAATTCTTCTAATTGTTGTTCATAGTGAATGATGCTGGGTGATGATTGACGGTGGAACGAAAATCTGGGCAGCTACAGGATTCGAACGAGCTACTTCCGAGTTACTGGCCCGGTGGTCTACCAACTGAGCTACGAGACCTGAGTGATGACTAAATTTTAATTTCACTTCAACCACCAAGGGTTTTACCTGACTGCCATGTTAATCCGTGACGCATTGCTGTCGCTTGATCATACACTGGCTGCTCAGTCAGGACTTTTCATCCCAATCCAAATCATCTTGAATTATTGAGGGAAACCTCGTATTGGTTCTCATTTTGACTATCTGAGATAGCCATGGTTTGGCAGACTTGGAATGATACTGAAGTGGAACTAAAATTTAGTCAGCACCCGGGTCTCGTAGGTCACTTAGTAGAGAGCCAGGCGGGTTGCCCGGAGCTCACTGGTTCGAGTCCTAGTGTGGTCCAAATTTTAATTTCACCTTCAGTCATCACCCAGTATCAATACAAGCCTGCGTAAACGTGACCATCTCAGGTAGTCAAACCAAGAATCATAGTGAATGAATTCGATTTATTTTCCCATCTAGTGAAACCGGACTTTGAAAATTAGTATGTTATCCACTTCAGGTTTGTTTCCTGTAAATCGATCTTCTTAGGGAACCATCATGTCTTTTTACCAAATGAACGACCAAGAAGTGAAATTCTTACTTATTTTCCGTTCTCATGGTAAATTTAATTGATTTGTGACATTGAACTTTCTTGTCTCATGGTTACTGTTCTCCTCACAGATTTTGAGAGTGACATCCATATATTTCTTATGTAGATGTAAGCGATTGATTAGTGGGCGTAGTTTACTGTTAACTAGTTTAGCCATGTAGCAGTCAGCTAAGAAGGGACCCAATGGTGAATCCATTGGTATCCCATCCGTTTGTCGACAAAGTTCATTATTTAATTTGAACTGTACATTAAAAAAGCGATTACTTTTGAAAATTTTTAAGAATTTCAATTTCAGGTTTGTTGATCTCATTATAATAGTCTAGAAAGCAGATTGTTTCTGTGTCAAAGAGACATTTGTGAAGAGTAACGTGATGCCACACAGGTTGATATCTCTGATACAGTTAACGAAGTTGGATGAGTCAGGAGTACTGTAGTTATTGATCTGATTCTTCACCTTGTAATCCCATAGACAATTTTAATAACCTTGTGTTGACCCACTGGCCATTGATGAACGGATATTTTTGTTGTAACTATGTGTACTAATGTACAGCTTCTGAAACTGATTTGTCAGAACGAAAACTTTCTTCGCTGATTTATCTTTTATCAGTTTGACTATCTGAAATGGTCGTCTTTTGTCAGCTTTTCATGATGAATATCAATCGCAAAGTGAGAAAGTAGTAAAACATTGCAGTGTGTCTCAAAATCTTAAAAAACTTGGCTTATGTGTAAATATTTCACAGCTTTTACTGATGGTTCTTTATCCATTTCCCTGAAAGCAATCAACAATCACTAATTGGGAAACTACAACTAACGGATATTACTTAATTGTGAACTGGTTAAAAATATGCAGGCTTTTATATGGTAGATTTTTTGTTATTGGTTCGCTAGAACAGCAAACTAGGAAGGTTTGCTGTTTTACTTAAAAAAGTTCTCCTTTTCCATCAAATAAGAGAACACTTTCGCAAACTAATTCTTTGAACTCAAAAGTATGCAACGGATCAGTATGCTTCAAAAACCTCAGTCGGTTAAAGAAAGTCAGATGAGCGACAAAATAACAAAATCGACAAAATAGACAGTGATAGGCGAGCAAATAAGTAAAGAATTTCAAAGTATTGTTTTCGGACCAATGTCAACTGAAGAACCATTGAAAATCAGCTAATACTGAACAACTGTTCTGTTCCACTTCATGGCTCCTCGGTAGTTGAAGGTTTATAGATTGAATTTCCCAAATTGTGTTGACAGAGTTGTTAAGCGACAATGTTTGTCTAAATTATCACATAACAGTACTACAGAAATACTTGTCTTGAAATATCTTTTAATTGGAACCATTTTATGATGTAGCATAATTGGGTCTTTCTTCATGTTCACATTTATTTATTCTAAAGTTGTCCTGGCTCCTTGATGTTCCTGTTCCATTTGCCGTTGAAGCGGAAAACTTATCTACATACAGGTGATTTTCGTTATACACCAGAAATGTTGGCTTCTCCGAGTTCATTGACAAGTTATTTGAAAGAAGAAAATGCTAAGGACACTTTGGTACCGAAAATAGATTCAGTGTTTTTGGATACAACGTGCGTTGTTTTATTTTCTCTGTTTTTGCATTTACTCATATCGCTAGTAATATTTTTAGTCTCGATATACTACAATCATTGAAAGCTTTTAGTTCATTGATTGGCTTATTCAACTGTGTGTACTTATTATGCTTGCATTCAGTATTCTAGAGTTCATATACATCATTGGTTAGGGATCTGAGTTTTTCATTATCCCCAGATAAACCCTTCTTATCCATGGAGGTTATTTGAGCACTGCAGTCTCAATTGAATCTGTTTACCCTTGTCAAAACATCCCAGTAATGTGATTTTAGAATTTCTCTTGTAGAGTGCGTGAATATATGACCATTTTTAGGTGAACAACAATACTTATCCACTGTTGGTTATAACAAGATACTTTTTGTCTGCTCATTTTGTACGGAGTTTGTATTATGATAAATAAATAATGTAATCACGCCCAGTGGTACGGTTGAATTTTATGAACAACTTCGATATTGCTGAGTATTAAATTATGTTTCCAAATCTTTCGACCTCACATAGTCAACAAAATTCTCGTTGCAAATGATTTGGGTATAAAAAACGGCTGAAGAAGGAGTAGAGCTGCAAGACTTCCCATCAATAAGAACTTATTAGTACCAAATATTATCATGAGAAAAGAAAACTTCGCTGGAACATTTTTCGAGATATCCTGGCTCCTTATCTTCATGAATTTTCACATAAATGCCTATGACAAGTACATGTGTGATCAGATAGTTCGAAATGTGTTTCGCAAATACCTTACACGGTTCAGACAATTTACGTCTTATGGTTTTGTGGGAGATTTTGAATGGTGATTTTTTTTACATGTGATATAGTAGGAGAATTTTTGGTATTGTCGTCTTTGAAACTGTTTCTGCGGTTTGAATTTAAGGTGATAGAGAAGAGTTAAGTAATTTGGATAATGCTAGTGTGTTAGACATTTAATCAAAGTAACTTGTAAGGATAAACTTTAGTTCTGGCTGTTTTTTGGGGAGTCATAGTGATCATCTTTGTTGTTATCATCAAGTCAACCTCTTGTTCTAGACCGATACAGATGCTTATTGTAGAGATTTTTTTGGCATCCATTATATATTTACCTTTAAAATGTAATAAGTGGACCTATAAATATCATAAAATCCAGTTAGTCACTTGTGAATGTTCCTTGCATGTACTTTTATTTATTAGCCGCTATAATTAGTGTAGTCGTTCCCACTTATGGTTGTGTATATTTTTGACGGGATTTCTCCATAAACAGTGGTTCGATTATCAGTCCCTTCCTACACCCAACTAAGTTTATAATACTGTCACTCTTTTTCATCCTATTATGTGATGCTTGTGTATAAACTCATAAATGGCTATAGACCAGTTTTTCTGTCGAGTTTTTTATCTTATTAGGGCCTATCAATCTTGATTTAGTTAAGCCTCTGTGTGCAGACATCCTGAGCCCGGTCGACTACTTTGATTCATGCATTTCAGCTCGCAGTTATTGCAAGGGTTTCGGTAAAAAAGTTATTTGACTAATTGGGGCAATAGATTCTTTTGACCTTTAAAGCTTGTTTCTAAGTGAATTTGTAGATTCAAATGCTACTCTAATCCCAGCCTTATTGATAATTCACCTTAGCATTTCTGAGGTTCCTTTGTCGTATCATAGTATTGTAAAGGTTTTGAATTGTCTCTACACATTATCTTCGTTATTAATAATATTATCATCATTAACACCTGTGTAACAGTGACTGCTCATATTTTCCCCGCAATTCAATGAGCTCTTTCGCCTTGTTAGTTAGACATGTAACTAAACTCGCCGTATATGCCATAAGGTGGGATGATATTGAAATCTAAGTAGAAATTCTAATGGGAAAGTTTCCTGTTGAGACTGCAGTTCACACTTCCATCTTCCTTTCGTTTTGTTCTGCAATCCGACATCACTAGCTCCCCTTGATTACAGCTAAATTGAATCACGCTCACTACTGAATTTGTGTGTCGATAACTCATTTATGTACTCCGGTATCAGTGCTGTGAATGTATCATCTACATATCAGTACTGTATCTTTAGTATAGTACTAAATGTTTCAGGGGCTATTTTCATTTCTTACCATCCATAAATATGTCTACGATGATAGACGCTGTTGATGATCTCATGACAGCTTCTGTTTGTTTATCTATATTTTATTTTTAAACTTAAAGATTGTGGACTCCAGGTATGATCTCTACTGGTATCTTAGTTCGATGCGTAAGCTCATTGACATCATTGAGTTCATTTCTAACTGCATCTAAAGCTGTGTCGATCGATATATTGGTATAAAAGCTAGTTACATCAAAATTATAAAATTTGTATGATATCATATCTATGCTATAAGTCGTAAGAATTGGTAAGTCTCAATGATTAGTTACACAGGAAGAGAACTCATCATGGGTCGAGAAGTAGTCTTTGAAATAAACGAGGATGGAGAACTGTTTGCAGACTTCTGCGCATTTAATGACTTGGTGACTGGAGGCAGTGTGTACAAACACAAGGATGTACAAAAAGCAACATGGATTTGATTTCACCAGATGGACACACTAAAAATCAGATCGACTTCATTTCAATCTAAAGAAAGTGGGAAAGTGAAGACCCAGCCTACTGGACACGAGATGAAGAAGAGGAGGAGATGTAGGTTTAGACCACTCATGATCTAGTGCAAGGAACCATCAAAATCAAGTTGAAAACCTTTACAGGAGTTGGTGATAGGCCACAGTTCAAGTTCAACACCCAGAACAGAAACTGAAGGACAAAACTTTCAAGGGATGTCTTTACACCAGCTATCAGGAAAAAATGGGAGACATTAAGCAACATCACTGAGGAAACCTGTGTGGAAGAACACTGGAACTCTTTGAAAGAGATGTGGGAGGAAATCTGCATAACCCTGTTAAGAAGGAAGAAGAAACTACAAGGAATGAATCTCGACGGACATATGGAAGCTGATAGAACAGGGAGAGAATGATGGTGATGGTGAAGCAGAAGATAAACCAGTGCAGTGCAGGGATGAACAACGAAAAGGGGAACTGAGTACAACGTATAAAACACTAGACAAAGAAGTGAAGAGTACATGGAAAGACAAAAGACACTTCTGCGACACACTTGGAAGTGAAGCAGGACAGGCTGATGGTGGGAGAGACCTGATAACATTATAGCAAATAACCAGGTTACTGTCTGGGAGGGAAAAGATCAACGTAGATGAAACCAATGATAGACAGTGAAGGAAATTCAGTTACCAAAAAGGAGGAACGTAGGAAACGATGGGTTGACCACTTCAGAAAACTCTTGAATCGACCACCACCACCACCACTTGCAACTCGTTCAGAAATACCACCAGCAACCGCAGAGTTACCAGTGAACAAGGGCCCTCCGACGAAAGCCGAAGTCCTGAAGGCCATAAAGTTACTAAAATGCGGAAAAGCATCAGAACCAGATGGAATCCCTTCAGAAGCACTAAAAACGGACGTAGAGACAACAGCAGACATCCTCACACTACTACTGCAGAAGATTTGCAAGGAAGGAAGAAAAGGTACATGCCGGTTGATTGGAAGAAGTGCTACTTTATCAAACGTCCAAAAAAGGGCGACCTAAGTCTTAGCAATAAGAAAAACTGGCGAAGAACCATGTTCATGTCCACACCAAGCAAAATATTATGCCACATCATCCTGGAGAGATTAAAAGGTGCTCGACCGGAAAAGGCTGGCTGGTTGGCTTCAGGAAGAAGAAATGATGTGCGGATCAAATTGCAATGCTACGCTTCACATCATCATGGAACAGAGCATGGAATGGCAGTCAACTCTCTACCTCAACTTCATTGATTTTGAAAAGGCCTTCGACAGCATCGTCTGAGAAGTAATTTGGCAGGCAGCTGCTTCAACACTACGGTTTTGGTGCCACAAACTTTCATCAACCTCATTCAACAGCTATATGAAGACACCACATGCCGGGTGATTCACAATGGAAAGCTCAGTGACGCTTTTGAAGTTGAGTGAAGACAAGTGTAAGACAAGGCTGCGGCCCACTATCACCGAAGATCTTCCTGATTATGGTGGACTAGATCATGCAGCAAACCATGAGGAGAGAGATGAAAGGAATACGCTGTTTGACCGATGAAAAGACCCTAGAAGATTTGGATTTCGCTGGTGATGATTTATGTGTAGTGTTTAGTAGCACGAACTCGAAGACCTTGAGGCGAAAACCAATAAGGTAACAGAAGAGGCAGCAAGGATGTGAGTTAAAGTGAGTGTAGAGAAGACAGAGGTGGTGAAGATACTCAACAGCAACACCAGGCACTAATCACCATGAGTGAGAGAAACCTAGAGGAAGTAGTCTCTTTCACCTATCTACGTAGGCAGCATCGTTTCAAGTACAGGCGGTGGCGCAGATGAGGACATCAAAGCCAGGATCGGAAAAGCAAGACAGGGAGGGATTCATTAACCTGAAACCAGTGTAGAGATCTACTGCACTCTACTCAGCATAAAGAACAAGATCCAGATTTTCAATACTAATATCAAGTCAGTGCTTGTATATAGTTCAGAAACTTGGTGCGACATGTAAAGCGTTTCCAACAAACTACAGATATTCATCAACAACTGCCTACGCTTGATACTGAAGATCAGATGGATTGCCAGAAAGAATAAGCAACAAGGAACTCTGGTCTGATGACGAACCAACGAAGCAAGAACCTATCACCCAACAAATATGCAGAAGTAAGTGGAGATGGATTGGATTAGGCGTACACTGAGAGGACCGACTGGGGGCATCATACGGCTGGCCAGGCTCTCGAGTGGAAGCCGAAGGGGATACGACGAGTTGTGCGTCGAGGCGAGGATGACATGGAGATTGTGTGAGGAGGAGAGGGAAGCTTGTAGACAGTCATGGAGCGAGGTTCCAAATACTGTAGTAAAGAGAGCGCAATGGAGACATGCTACCGAAGCCCTATGTTCCACTATGAACCCGAGGGACAAATAATAATCACAGTCATCAT